TAACTTCGTTTACGGCAACAGTAAACGACTACAAAATACGGTCGCCGTTTTTCACCGTGAATGATAGGTATACGGCCGTTTACGGCTCAGGTTGATCGACCTGGGATGATGATATTGTTTTATTTTTAGCTGCTCGAATAAATCGAATGGTATAATTACAAATGCTTTCCATTATGTTATTTGTATATGAGAGTGCGAAATCGAATCGAAATCGAAATCGAAAAATGATTTGGTCGATGTATACATCTGAAATGAAAGATAATTCTCTCTCTTCTCTTTCTTTCTCTTATATTAAAATCAAATTCATTTTTCTCCCTATGAATTTCTCGATTATCTATTTATCTTTTTTCTTCGATGCATACTCTACAGCGACAAGGATTTCGAATCTTGTGGCTGCGTCAGCTTCTTGATGAGAAATTATGCGATTCGAAAAAAAATGTAAAATTGTTTTTTTTTCTCTATGTAAAATTAAAGTTTAAACACATATTGCAAGGGAAAATTCAAAAATGACGTATCTCAGATCGATCAATTATTATTCTTGATACTTATTATATATTTTTGCGTTCTATGAAGTGCTCTTTATCTATTCAACGAAAAGTAATAAATGTTCGAATCAAATCAATCACTTGTTCACTAAAAATATCTGGATATTAGATGCTTGTATAATCACAAAGAACTGCAATATAACAAACAAATATATTTCGTCAATAGAAGATTATATTCGATACTGAATGAGTTCATCGTTAAAATTATTAATATTTTCAAAGAAAACCAAATAAATATCTTGATGAAGTCTTTTGAGATAATTGTTTCAATTACTGTAAAAGAATATGGTTGTGCGCTGTTGCCAGATGTCTTAGATGTTATATTTGAGTGTTTAACATTGAACGATATTTAGTCTTTTTAAGATTCAATAGAATAGATTGATCAAAAATATAGAAATCTGTAATAACTTTATGTATATGTTGAAAGTTGTCGTATACAGAATTGACTTGTTTCACAAACAGTTGCTACTGACAGTGACTAATTGCGCCGTTTTTGTTTCTTATTAAACTCTGATCATTCATGTGTAAAAGTAAAAAATATTGTTTTATCAATGAGTATCTGATAAGCATACCGATGTGTTGTTTACTGAGCTCGTGTTCGTATAATCTATCGTTTATTTCTTTTTAGTGTTGTTCACCTGCTATGTTTTAAACCAATGCGTTGAAATTTGAGAAATATTGTGTTTCTAATATGTTATCGATGAAAATAATGATGGGTGTAGACAAGTTTTCTATTCCTAATTTTTTTACAATATCAAACATCATTCGTATACACTAGAGATATGCAAGGTAAGCAGGGTGTGCGTTTGTGTGTCCATCGGCGGGCCACCACGAGGCAATTGTCACACCTGACAAAAACATTAATAATGGCATATATCTATCTGTATGTATATATATATATACGCGGTTTATTTTTCAGTAGAAACTAACTACATCAATTGTTGTTAGAAGAAAAACAACGAAAAAGTCATCTAGTCGATTATTGTTTAATATTGTACAAAAGCATTGAGTAGAATAGCATACAATGAAAAACAAGCGACAGGTAAAGGAAGTGCAGGCAGTAAATATTGGTTAAAATAACATCCAAACCAAGACGTTGCTATTTGGCCAATTTGAATAGCAATAATATGACCGATAGCTATGCATACTTTGGTTATCATTGACGATCCAGAAGGTACTATTAATAACAACATGAGATTGAAAATTAGAAAATCACCAATGCCAAGACTTGAACGATTGTTTTTTCGATCAACTAATTCATCATCATCAAAGTTCAAAGTATAGTAGAAGCCAACTAGAGATGGTGTACCATCAGTAGAAAGTTCATCTAGTATTCTTGAGCTTTCAATGTGATACCGTGGATGCAAACAATAGATTCTATTCAAGAAAAAAGACATTAAAACATATCTATTAGTAAAGACAAAGGATTAATCGATTTAAGTGCTGCTCATTTTTATTTTTTATCATCGCTGTATCGTGCTGAAAAAAGTTTTTCTTGAAAATACTCTTCTACAGAATAAAATTTTCTATATCTTAAATTGAATTTAAGACATCAGACGAGAAAAGCATGAAAGATTCAATTATTTAGAATTCAATATCTAAAAAGATATTGTTAGATATAGATTCTATAATATACTTTTATTTAATAAAATAAAGATCCCAGATCACAAAACCTTGATCACTTTTAGCAGTATAAGCCACTATTATTTTAATTTTCATTAAATGGGATGTATTCTATTATTATTATTGTATAATTAACAATAGTATTTGAATAAAAAAATAGTGGGACTATTTATTTTCTCAAAATGTAACTTTTAAAATAAAAAATAATCGTAATCAGATTCAAAGAAAGAGCAAAAATGTTATTCAATTTTTCAGGGTGTGGGTGTATGTCTTCTTCTTGTCAGCACTCATTACTCACCCACTCGCTTACCCTCTTACGTTTCTAATCAAGTATACATATTAGGTTTTATCTTTGCAGAGGCTTGCATGGAAATTACTTGTTACAATGATTATCTTGAACACGACAAAATGTTGAATAGAATTGCAAATTTAGTTAAAAAATTCCATGATCTATTTAGGATTCGAGTTAACTGTTCGACATTATGGAAAAAATTAATCCAAAGTATGATTTTCCTTTGAATTTAGTGTCGATGCAAATCTATCATCGTACGCATTAATTTTGAAATAATCTCTATATCGACTTTTAGTATCAAAAGGAAAAAAATTCGAAAAAGCTTAATAGATATTTATTTATTCTAAGATTTGTTTTTTAATAAATTTTCTTTACATAATTCAGTAGATTCAATTATTAATATTTTTTGTCAGCATTAGTTTCATTAAGATAGAAAAATATTTGTGTCCTACTAATTTTTAAAAGAAAAAAAAGATCTTTGTTTACTTACATATCTGCAAGAGCGAATATCCATATTAAAAGGAAGTTCACCTCCATTGGTAAAAGCCGAAAGAAAAAATCATAAACAAAATACATAATAAATGCTGGAATCATACACTGGCATCCTCGAAAAAATGTCAATGAGATCAATGGAAGTATTTGTAATTCCCATGCAGTGATAAGAAACATAACTTGCCAAACAAGAAAATATACAGTGAATATATCCAATGAATAAGAAAAATTAAAAGCATCGCAAAAGCGAGCTAGAAAAAAAGTTTGGATTATTGTATATATTAATGCACGAAAATTATATGAACGTTCACGTGAATTATACCAGGATGTCAATGATACTTCTAAGATAATTACTGGAAAATGGAGATGTATCAAGATTGGTATCACTATTATTGAAGGTATTACAATGTTTGTTAACTACAATGATATAAAATGAATTAAATGATGTATTCTAAAACATGTACATACAAAATCGGTTGTTCAAAAGACACGATATATTTAACAGCACATCGTGTGCGGGATCGATTAATATAATTTGAGTAAAAAAACCATGCGCTTTTGTGTCTTTAAGACTACAATGCAGACACAATGTTATTAACATACTTAATGTAGTCACGATCATGAAGTGCGTGAAGTTGTTCATCCGTAATTTTTTCCACATACAAAATGAAAGAAAATTTTTCACATATTGACTTTTTTATAATATTTTGACCGGAGAAAAATTCTTAGAAAATATTATGCTGCTATATGATTCGTTCATTCTTAACAACAAACAATGCTGCTTATTCTGTTGAAGTGAAGTAATTAATATGATATGTCTATGGAAAATAGAGGTCAATCGGTCAATCGGTCAATCTGTATAGAGAAGAACACAAAATTAATTGAATAAAAATAAAATATAAAATACAATGGATCAATCATAAGAAAGTGCTTGTAATAGAATTATTTAGAGTAGAGTGGGGGTATTGCATATGAAAAATCGCTCTTTTTTTTTTTTGTAGCTATCGTAACTCGGTCAATTTTANTGAGAAAACCGATTTTTAGTGACTCCATGTAAAATAGCTGGGAATATGCAATAGCCCCACGTCACACAGCTATTTTATGCAATTACCCCATACGAGGCAATTGCATATTATTTGTTGGGGCTACTAGCAAAATAGCGATTCAACAACTTTGGACAGTCTGTTTTTAGTAATTTTTACACAAGTTTGTAGAGAAGACATTCATCTATTGATTAAGAAAAAAATTCTTAAAATTGACCGAGTTACGATAGCTACAAAAAAAAAAGAGCGATTTTTCATATGCAATGGCCCCACTCTACGCTAATATACTTGTTGTCATAGACAANGATCATCAATGTTATTTTACGGTATAGGAAAACTTTTCACATTTTGTAAATAGTACAAAAGAGTAATCGACTGAATCGTTGTTGTATACCTCTTCACGGTAGCATTTTTCATAGGAATCTAAAATAGGATGTAAGCATACACTCTGTTCTTTTTTTCAAGCAACGTGTAATTGTACACTTTATTTCGGAGATCAAAATGTGCGAGAAGTTAAAATGTTGCTTCTAGAGACACAAAAAAACTGCTATCAAAAAATCATTTTTGTTTTATTTTTCGCGTTGATGAGCAGGCAGAAATTTTAAATTAACAAAATGTGAAAAGTTTTCAAAATACAAGTAAAAAACACAAGATTTCACTCAGTACAAGATATTAACTGACATTTTCATCAAACATTATTTATTGACACTGAAAGATGTGTGAAATATCTAAACAAGTACAGTTCATATACTAATATTCATTCAATTATACAATAAATACTGTTTTTTATATTTTGATGATGATGGATTCTTTTCTTTTATCGTTTTCCAAAAATTATTTCATTGTCACACTTCACGTTTTTTATATGTGAATATGGACGATGTATAGCGCCTCTACCTGTTTTTCTATTGGACGAGACAAACTTTTGATTATGTTTTATGGAAAAATTTGACTTCTTTTAATCATTTAAGTACGAAAATTCTCGTAAAAAACACCGCATAAAACAAACACTGTTCTCCATATTCATTATCAATATATTTATTAATGATATTTCTTTTTGTTTTCAGTGTGTTCGATTCATTGAATTTAAAATTATTGATCAACTGAAGTTTTAATATAGATGTTACTAATGAACGAATATGTATTTGTTAATAATCGCAGCAAAAGAAACAATTTTCAAATGTTAAAAAAAAAAAATCTTATATCAATTGTTTAAGTTTAAAACTAAATAGAAATGTCGGAAGATGACAATATAGAAATCGCTAATAGAGATGCTCAAAGGTAATATAAGACGATAAGAAATCAAATAAGTTATGTCTATAAATTTAGAAAATTTCGTTTTTTGTCAATTCGATGGTATTTATTATTGTTATGTTTAATTGTATTATGTCAATCAATGATAACATCTGGTTATATCGGTTCGATAGTATCATCCATTGAAACGTATTATGGATTTTCAAGTGAACGTTTAGGAATAGCATTTAGTAGTTATGATATAACTGGCGTTTTATCGATTCCATTAATATCATATTTTGGTTCGCAATATAATCGTGCAAAAATTGTTGCTTTAGGATCTTTTGTTTTTTCAATTGGAAATATTCTTTTTATTTTACCTTATTCTATAAATGGCTATCATAAACCAATAATTGATAATGCAACAAATGAAACATTAAATTCTTTATGTTCACCTAATTCAACAAATTATTCTGAAAATATTTTTTTATCTTCTAATAATAATTTAATTGAAGTTCAACCGTTATGGACGTATTATATGATTATTTTATCAATGATTATTATGTCAATTGGTGCAAGTCCATTTTATACATTAGGAATAACATATTTAACTGATCATCTTAATAAAGATGATCAACCTATTTATACAAGTATGTTTAAAAGGATTTTATTTTAATTGACTATTGAAAAAATTCTAGGTATATTCTATGGAATGATAGCATTAGGACCTGCTATTGGCTTTCTAATGGGTTCTTTATTTTTATCTGAATGGATAAATATTGGTCAAAATCAAAATCTTGATGGAATAACTAAAACTGATCCTCAATGGATTGGACGTTGGTGGGCTGGTTTTATTTTATCATCATTTTTATTAATATTATTATCATTGATTCTTTTTACATTTCCATCTAAACTTGAACAAAACAACAATAATAATGAACTAATACAATCAAATCAATCTTCGCCAACTCAACCTTTATGTCAGTTATCAACAATTAAAGGTGAGTTTTCCTTTAATATTGTTTTCTTAATTCGATATATTTTATTAGAAATATTTAAATCTATCTATGATCTTATAATGAATTTAACATATATTTTAATTGTTTTAATTAATTCAATAGAAAATGTAAGTTTGAAAATTAAAAATTAAAAAATAAAATTGAATATAAAATATAAATAGATTTTAATTGTATCGTTTACAACTTTTATGGTTAAGTATATTGAATCAGTATTTAATATTTCATCATCATTATCAAGTATATTAACTGGTTCAATTATTATTCCAGCAGCTGTATTTGGAACAATAACAGGAGGATATTTGATTCGTCGTTTTCATATGAATATCTATCAATCAATCAAATTAATATTAATATGTTGTTTTATATCTTTAATATTTCTTATCTCACTTATTTTTCTTAAATGTAAATCAAATATAAAATATTCCAATGATACAGAATGTTCTCAATTGTGTAATTGTTCTCCATATATTTATCAACCAGTTTGTTCTCAAGAAACGATAACATATCTTTCTCCATGTTATGCAGGCTGTACAACTGTGAATGGAAAAGTAAGATTAAATACATTTATTTTCTTCTATTATTTGAATGAATATATTTTTAAAAGGAATATTCAAATTGTACATGTTTATCATTAGAAGATAAAGTGTTTGAAGGTTCATGTGAAAATTCTTGTTTATTTCAATTAATATTATTTTTTATAATATTATTTCTTGTAACATATTTTGAAACATTAATGGCAACACCACATTTAATAATTATATTACGTTCAGTTCGACATGAACTTCAATCATTTAGTTTAGGCTTTGAAAATTGTATTGTAAAACTTCTTGCACAAATTCCAACACCTATTTTATTTGGAATAATTCTTGATAATCAATGTTTATTTTGGTCTCAATCAACATTTCATCATCGAGCTTCATGTTTTATCTATAATGGTGATGAACTTCCAATGAGATTATTTGCAACCACTATCATTATTAAATTAATTTCATTTATTCTTATTCTCATTTTATTTTTAATTAAATTCAGAGAAAATAAATTTCTATTAATTGAACAACAAGACCAGGAAGAAGAACAACAAGATCTTGTAAATAATTCTCATTCCTAATCGCATTCGATATTCATCATATCTCTTTTTCTCTATTACAAAATCTCAGCAATTTCTTCTTTTTCTTTTGTAAATAAAAACTTTATTTTGATTTATAAACTGTCTACTATAAATTTCTATAGTTCATGTTATTTTTCTCAGTTTGAGGGTTGTTTAAGAACTCAGGAATCTCTCCTCAGTTTTCCTACAATTACTTGCATACTACAGATAAAAATATGGAATATTCACGATCATTTTTCTTCTTACATTCATTTTCACCTGCACAAATTATTTAAGAAAAAGTAATATCGAGATTTTCGTGAATGGTGGAACTGTGAGGAAATCAGTGACTGATTCCTATTTCCCTATTCTTGGCACTGCTGTTGTTTTGTACAATAAAATTTTGTATGATTTTTATTAAAAATAATTCAAATAAACATGCGACATCTTCATAGAAAATAGTGTGTTTGCCAGTAACTAACAACCAGTAGTTGTTGAAATATTACGCTTTTTTCCTAGTTGCATCAGTTACACGAAATTAAAATAAAAGACAAAAATATTTTTCGCTTTGTCAAAATTTTATTAAAGTTAAATCTCTTTAGTAAAATCCCTGTAAATGGAGAGCAGTCATTTTCCTGGTTACAGTCAATGTGTAGCATGTAGTCAACTGATACCTGTCAAAGAGACGCGTCAACATATACTTAGTTGTCGGCCAGGATCGTCAATTGAGAAAAAATCATGTCCATTGTGCAGTCAACAAGTATCTATTAAAGAATATCAAGAACATATTAGAATATGTGATCAACAAAAAAATCCTCCTTTAAATTCGTGTTTATCATCGAATAAAAACACATGCCCAAATTGTGACAATTTTCTTGACAATTTAACCAATAATTGTCGATTATGTGATAATAATTATGACAATAATATTGGAGGATATTCAACACCAAGAGCACAGACACCACCATCACCACAGGTTTGATTAATTTTTAGTTAATTTAATGAATATTTTATCTATGTTTTATTAGACTGTACTAGAAGAATCAATGGAAATAAATTCTTTTAAACAAGAGAGAAAAAAACGTTGTATTTTATGTTCTAAAGATATTGATCAATCAGATTATGAAAATCATGTATCGATTTGTTCAGATAATAATTCAGAGATAATTAAGACTTCTTCAAGAATACAAGCAACTTTCAATGAAAAACAAACTAAACGTTGTGTTTTGTGTTCTGAAGAAATAGATAAATATGAATATGAAGATCATGTGTCATTTTGTTCAAATGATCATACACCAATATTAATTAATAATCATGTGTTAAATCGAACGAAAGATTCAAATGGAAAATCAACTTCTTACAAAGTTATACATTGATTTACCTTTTTATTAAGTAATCTCAATTTTTGTTTTTTGAAAATAATTAGAATGATCAAAATCAATTAATTCTTGCGAATAAAAAGACAAAAAAACGTTGTATTTTATGTTCGAAAGATATTGATCAATCTGCATATGAAGATCATGTTGGATCCTGTTCAGATGATAACCATCATTTTAATCAAAGATCAAAAATGAATTTATCAACTGAAAATTCTTTTAGTAAAAATCAATTTTCGAAAGATAATTTAACAGTAACTATTTATTCATTTTTCTAATTAAAATTTTACATTTACTTTAATGAATAGATTTCGTCGAGATGTTCAACGTCTAAAAAACAGCGGCCTAGAAAAGAATGTATTTTGTGTTTTGAATTAATTAGCGAAGAAGAATATGAAGAACATATTGGGAATTGTTCAACAGAACAATCAAATAATCAACATTTAAATATTAATAAAAATAAATATTCAAAACAAGTAAAAATCATTTGATTTTGATAATTATTGATAAAAATAGTAAAAAAATGGTCTATTAGAACAATGATAAAAATTCTTGTACAATATGTTCAAAATCTTTTGATCGATCCGAATATATTAATCATATTCAATCGTGTTCACCATCTTCTTCTATTGATAGTTCTTCTGGAAATCATCGTCATCAAACAACATTTAATTATATAGAAAAAGTAAAAAGACTTTTCAACTTAAAAAAAAAGAAATTTTCAATATTGAATTATTTAGGATAATAAAAGTCATAGTAAAGCTTCATCTGATGTTATTAAAAAGTCAAGAAAAGATTGTTTTGTTTGTTTTAAACCAATTGATTTATCTCAATATGAAAATCATGTTTTAGAATGCGTTGCTCAAACAGATCATCATTTACCAAATTCATTAACAAGAAAAAATCTTAAATGTTTAACATGGTAAAGAAAAGTAAAATAATTATTTCTTTTAAAACTCTATTCTTTTTCTATCTATAGCAATTGTTCAATAAATAAAAACGATGGCCTATACAGAGAAATATCTTGTCATTCACATCATAATCATTGTCTAGTTTGTCTTCAACGTTCAATGGAAGAATTTGTTCGAAATGGTGAAACACCTGTATGCCATAAAAGATTGTGTGATTATCAATTATCTAAATATGATATATCATTAATTCCACTTGAACGTCGATTATCTGATCGTCTTTTGAAACTTGTTAAAGGTCAACAAAGACCATTTTGTTCAAAATGTCGTTTTTATGTTGATTTGAATGAACATTTTGATGAACATATTGAATTATGCGATGATCTTATACCTTGTGAATATTGTCAATTACCATATTCATTTAAACAATTAGAAAATCATGCGAGACAATGTCAACATGATCCAACATCTCAAAATGAAAAATTGACAAATTTTATTTTAACAAGAACAAAATATCCATTTACAAAAGATCAAATTCGTCTTTTTATTCAAGAACAAAAGAAAAACTCCTTATCAAGTTTAGATTCATGGTCAATCATTGAAGCTCTTGCTGTTTTTGGTAAATAAATTTTGTTTTATTTTTAATAGAAAATTTCAATAAATGAATTTCATACAGGACCAATATTTCCGATTGAAATACCAACAAGAGATTGTGATATTTGTATGGAAGCTCGGCCATATGATGATATTTATGTATTTGATTGTGCTGATAGTCATAAATCATGTTACTCATGTTATTATCAATCATGTCAAGCAAAAATGTCAAATGGAGAAATTTTAACTTGTGCAATTTGTACAAATCCATTACGTGATGGTGAACTTAATCAACTTCGAATTTCTAAAGAAGAATTGAAGAAAATTCTAGAATATCAAATGAGGAAAACATTTGATGCCTATTCAAATCGTACTCGTGGTATTGTTAAATGTCCGAATCAAGAATGTTCATGGATTGCTGAAGCTGAAGATCCAAATGAACGCTTTAGAGTTGTTTGTCCACTTTGCAATAAAGAATTTTGTTCACTGTGTAATCAACAATATCATTATCGTACAACATGTGATCAACTTCCACAAATAACTCAACGATGGTTTTTTTGGTGTCAAACAGGTTTTCTATTTGATTTGTATTCTATTGAACATTTTATTTTAATTTAATTAAATAGAACGTAATCGTTATTTAACAATGAGAGCTGAACAAGATACAGCATATGCAGCTCAATTAGCCGATTTTAATCGTAAAAATACAGAAAATGAAAATCGTAATCGTGATTTACGTCGTCGTTATGAAGAATTAATGCACGATGAAAAATATAAACAGGAAAATTGTCGTCTTTGTCCGTCATGCAAAAGAGTCGTCCAACGCCTTGAAGGTTGTGATTCAATGATATGTGGTCAAGATGCACATGGAGGCAATGTCCAATCAGGTTGTGGAGCCAAATTTAATTGGGCACAAGCACAACAATATGCAGCAGCAGCAACAAATCAACCGAGACAAACTATTGTCGATTTACCCAAACCAGAAAATCCTGTTGTTCATCATGATGGTGTCAAGTTAGTTTTGACTTAAATTAAGAAATGTTTCTTTTCTATTTTTAATATTTAAGATGTGATCATTGTCAAAATGATGTTATTGGAATTCGTTTTGATTGTGTTCATTGTCCATCATTAACATTTTGTGAAAAATGTGAGCAACAATTAACATTAGATCATTCAACAGAAAATCAATTTCTTCAACAACAACAACATGTTTTCAAACTTATTATGGTACCACAAGAAGAAGCTAATTAAGTGTGATCTTTTCTTTTTATTCATTTTTCAGTTTTTTAATAATTCTACTGCTTCTTTTTATTTTATTAAATATAATTCCTTTTTTTTTAAATAAAATAAATTTCATTTTAATTAATAATTTTCTTTTAATTTAAAATATTCTGCCATATATGTAATAGATAGTATTACAATAGTTAAAACTATTATAATCATAATTTAACAACAAACTGATTAAAAATCAGAGTCCAAATGAAATTATTTAATCGGAGAAATCAAAATCAAAATATTCTTCTTTAGATAATAAAAAATTAATTTCATTTTTCAACAAGAAAATAAAAGAGTTGAAAAGTTATTTTGTGTTTTTTGATTGAATCCATATCTGAAATTATTAATCTGTTTTTTTTTAAGATCAGATTTTCGTTTTGAATTCAATGTTGAATACGACACTTATTGTCAGTAAGAAAGAGGGTTTTTTTCTAGTTGTTAAAATATTTCAAGGAAAATCTTTTTAGATAGAGAACAATAAAATAGAAATGAATTTATCAATTCAAAAAGAAACATTAAATAATCAATCGAATTCTAATAAAGATGATTTATTTATTTTACAGACTTCAAATGAAACTAAAATCAATGAAAAGAATGATGATGATGATGATGATCTGATTTTAACGGAAACAAATAATAATGATAAACAAGGAAAAAGTAACACATTATTAACACAAACAGTTCAACAACTTTTTGGAAAAAGCTCTTCTTCACTGTCTATGAAATCAAAAGAAACAAATAGTAAAGATGAAAAATTAATTCTTGATCAAAATAACACCGATGAACAGCTTATTGATTTAAATTAATTTGTTTTCTTCACTTATTATTTCAAATTTAAATAATTTCTGTTTATTTATCCTTTTATCAAAAATTAAATTAAAAGAAACGAGTATCATTTGTTCTATTTGATTGTTCAAAAAGAATTCTATTGTATAAAGACATAAATAAAAGTCACATTGCATGTTGAGGATGCGATCATTTCGTGTTCTTATGGTTCTCTATTATCGTAGTTATCAAATTCAGAACAGTGTCCCGATGTGTCCTATTATTCCATTTGATATTGGCTTCTGTATTTTCGACGTGAGTGACCTCACTGAAACTAATATTAACGTGTTCGTAGCATATCAAAATGTGCAGTCTTTGCGAATTTTGCTCTTTGTCTTGTATTTTAAACGTATTTTTATATGCATTATTTAGAAATTAAGCGAATTCTATAAGGTAAAGAGACAAACTCAATTCTGGATAGTTACTTGAGAGACAATAAGAATTTATTTTCTAACTATTTCAACTCTATTCCTATCGATGATATATACATCTGCCAGTGTACCATTGAAACAAATCTCTTTATCCTAGAGAATTTGCTTATTTTATTAGAATATGAAGTAGCTATCTGTTGGAAAATAACTAGCATGTGCTCAAGTTTCATCATACTATCCCAGATCGTGCTGACTTAATTATACTTTAGGTGAAGATATGATTCGAAGATATCAACGATTGTTATTTAACTATTTCCTAATTATGATTTTGAGATCGGGATACAATCAAAATAAGAGCTCATTGGCATAGTTAATAGCACAAAAAGAAAAATCTGAGATGGCTTATGACGCTACATCTATGGTTTATATGACTAAATTGT